TCTTTTCCTTTATGAAGAAACTAGGCTCACATAATATTTTCACATACTAATTAATTAAATACAAGCAGGGCAAAAAGACTTTTTCTGGATCTGATGTGATTATCTTTTAAGGAATTCTTATTCATAAATTTTCTTCACTTTGGTATTGAACCAGAGCAATGTATTATGACTCAGTGACTCATACCATGCCCTCAAAGGTATTAGTCCTTTGCATCTACTTGGGATATTTCTTCCTTTTTGAGTTTTAATACTTAAATTGAGAAAAAGTGTTACCTATCCTTAGAGCAGATATAAACTATACAAACATGGATCACAATATGACAGTTTTTATTTTGTACTTAGTGTTCTCAGAAGTTTGGAGTTAAAAGGAAAAAGAAATTATATATACATACACACTAAGATATCCCAGAAGATTGCAGATGAAATAAGAATTTTACTTAAAAGCATCAATTTTTACTCTTTTCCCAGTAGTCTGTTTTTCTGGACATAGACTATATGAACTCAGATTATAAATGGAATTACATTTAAGATATTCAGTAATAAATTTCTTTTGGTTCTTTTGAACTGTAATAGTGTGTGTTGTTTTTTTTTGTTTTTTTTTTTTTTTTGGTGTGTGAAATATGTTGGCTTCTTTGTAATGAGTTTTGGGGATTATACCAATAAACTTATATTAAGATTTTGGATTAGCATAGATAAAGCTGACCTTTTCAAAGTCAGTTTAATTCAGTATGAATGTGGCCTGATGTGACATGTATTAATCTTTCTTTGTGTCCTTAAGAGAGAAAATATTTTCCCAAAGCTGATGATTACTAAGTGAGCAAATTTGTGAGTCCCATCTTAATTCACAGTTGCAAAATTTAATTTGACTATTTCTGAGGGTCATAAATAGTCAACCTATTTTGCCAACCTATTTTGTCCAAAGTCTTGCTTCTTACCTTTTAAAATTATATTCCAAGTAATTAAAATTATAAAAAGAAATATTGTTTGTATCTTTAGTTGATCAAAGTGTGCTCTTTACAGATAGTATAGAACTGTCAAAGATAATTCTGTCTACTTCTTGCTGTTATGCTCAATCAGAAAGTTGAGACCGGTCAGATGAGAAGGAGGAAGATCCTCATATAATGGATTTAAAATAAATCTCCTTCATAAAGTGTTCAGAGCTGTCCAGGGCCCTGTTGACTTTTTATTTTTCCAGTTTAACTTTGTTCTCAATCAACCTGACCCTGCATTTTATTGAGAAGCTTGACTTAAGAAAGGACTTGAGTTTTGCATCCATTCTGCTGTGATTCCGCAGAAAGGGTCTCTATTTTCACCCTCTCTCACAGAGCCACCACCAGCTGTTCAAATAAGCAGTCAAGAGTCTCTGGAAAGGCTAGATGTTTAGGCCATATAATTTTTGCGTTAGGGATAGTTTATTTGGGAGGGAGGGAGGGGGATATGCCTAGTGTTTCAGCGAGCGTTTAGGAATGGAAAGAAATTCTGGCAAGTCCAAATTAGCTTGATTTTTATTTTTAGGTAAATAGCTTGCAAAGCCTTGTAAATGGCTTGCTCTAGTGGAAGCCAACAGAGGGATTAGCAAGCTGTGAAATGGCTGTTCAGCAGTAATTACCCTCTAAGAGTCCAGGAACTTGTCACCATTTCCCTGCCACGATTTGCAGGTACTTGCTATGGTCTTATCACCATTAGCAAACATAACAATTGAGAATGGAAGATGTTTCCTTGCTCAGTTTTCATCCTCTCTGCCTAACTGAATTTCTTAGACATCATTTCAGTACTGTCTCCTTTTGTGCTTCCATTTAGCTCAGTGAAACTGTAAAATTCACGACTTATGTTCCTACGTGGATTAGAACCCTGCTAAGGTATTTCTCTTAAGTAGATTATAATACTACACATAAAGTTGTCTTGAACTCAGCTATAGAAGATTATGTATTTATTATAAAAGATTTTATATCTAGGCTTTCCAGTGGGCCTTAAATGGTGAACAGAGATTGTGTATAATGAAATCAGCTCAAGATATAGTATGTCATATCTATTGTATGGTTGAATAAATTCTCTACCTCCACATCCCTCCCCCCATTCCTCTTTAAACTATCTATGACTGCTAGAATTATTATTATAATTATTTATAAAATATGGCTTGGATTATGTCATCCAACAATGCATTAATACAATGTACAAATTAGTTATAAAATACAAAAATATTTTTTATAAAAACCTTTTACTACAGATTTATTGAGATTCTCTATATGGGGTGTACGGATATATGGTGTCTCCTAGATTATAATTTACTTTAAATTAAAAGTGTTCTTAACACTGAAGTCAAGTGGACCAGGAGCTATTTCCTAGGTTCTTGACAAACTGTTGGGGTTGACCCACTTTTTTTTTTTTTTTTGTACAACTACTCCTAGGTATTGCTTTTCAGGACCTGGAATCTAAAATTAACAATGGCTGTGAAGGAAGGCAATTAAGGCCATTTGTCTTTCAAATGAGCCAATGTAGGTTCCACTGGTAGTTGAAATTTACCTAGAGAGGGCACTTGCCATTATAAAGGGCAGCGGGGGCCCTCAAGGCATGTGTTGCTAAGCGATAAGTCATCTTGGGGTTGATAGCAAATTATATTTTGAGAAAAAAAACACCTTTCCTTGCTATGTAAAGATGCATTTCCTAGCAATTCTCTTCATTGATTGGTTTTAAATTAAAAATACATAATTTATTGATGGGAGCATTTTCTAGAAAGGCTATTTTAAGCATATTTAAAAGAGAGTATTAAGCTCTCAAGCTGCTGACGTGTAGTTGTTTTAAAGGGTTGATGTAGTTAGATATGAGTGAATCAAGGATACCCACATACATACAGGCAGGCCTCGGGTGACAGGGGAAATCCGTTCCTATGGCGACGTAACATGGTTTTCTCTATAAGTCAGAACCCACCCACGTAAACACCTATGTCACTCACATGGAGCACATCCACAGCAGGAATGAAGTGACACAGTAACAAATATTTAAAGCAAATAGAACAATTCCTGACCTTTACTGATGGTAAATAACGGGAGATGGCGACCGAGGTAACGTGAGGGTGGCCTGTATTCTGCTTTGAAAAAGGTCCTAAATGCCTTCTGGACTTCTCCCATCTTGCCTTCTTTGCTTGTGAAACTGGCTTGTTTCTCTCATTAGTAAGGGCCTTAACTTTTTTCACATGCAAATGACAAACTTTTGATAGGGAAAACTAGTTCCTTGTTTACTGAGAATTTATAGGACTGCAGTTTGCCACTCCCTTTCCTGATATTTGGTCACAGAATTCATTGAGTTTCTTCATGAAGATTCCTCTTGGAAACTAAACAAATAAGCTACTTGAAAGGAGACAGGTGATTGGCTTCCCTCATTAAACCCTCTGCTGGAGTTTCATTAGTACTAATCCATTTTCTTTCATGGTTAGACATATAGGCCAGTTCTTATTTTCATGATTTGAATAAGCAAAATATGTTGAGTTGTATGTGCCTGTATAGATGTGGGCTGGAAAGCAAATGTAATTAATCTCTCTGTCATAAAATGTTCCCTGAAAATAAATCCAGGAAAAGTGACTCATGTAAAGGGGAAAAAGCTACCTTCATTTAAAATAGCTGTTATTCAATGAAGCAGAAGTGATGGGTGTGATTATTTGCTAATATGATGGGTTTCATGCTTCAGTTTCCCCCCTCGTATTGTCATAATTGTGTATAAAAATAATCTAAATAAAATATTGAAGCAGTTGAAACTCTATAAAGCTTCAATTGTTTCATTTGCTATTATACTTGATACCAAAAAAATGTGGGTATGGTTGAGTCCAAGTTCTAGACTCGTGAAAAACGAAGAATGAAGTCATGGACAAAAACGATTAATGGGACCAAAGTTTATTGGGAGAGGCCAGTCCTGGAAAAGGTGCAGCTGGGGTTCCAGGAGCAGGTCAGTGTGTCCAGAGCTTCCTTTCCATGTTACAGTCGGGAGTAGTTTCGTGTCCAAGCGAATTAAAGTCCAATTATCCATGTGTGGAGGCCCTCATGGCCATAAGCCACATGGACACAGGATGTGCTCCCCCTACATCCCACCCTGGAAACAATGAAAGTCAGGAACCCATAACGTGCAGGGGGGAGGGAGGGAGGGAGGGAGGGAGGGAGGGAGGGAGGGAGGGAGGGAGGGAGGGAGAGAGAGAGAGAGAGAGAGAGAGAGAGAGAGAGAGAGAGAGAGAGAGAGATATTATGGGCCTTTTAATTTAAACTGTGGGTAGTCTTGCTAGCTCCTAATTTGTCTTTTCAAAGAATTTTGCCTTAGCAATATCCTTTTGATTGGTTTATACACCTTACTGCCTTTTGATTGGTTATCTGCACACTTCCTGTCTTAGTAATACCCATGCATTTTAAAGTTCATGCCTCTGGCTTGCATCTCCTTCCTTTCCTCTCAGTGGGTGCCTTAATAACTTAGTCTAGTTGGGTTCTCCCAACTTTACTTCCTTTCCCATGGTTTTACCCCTAATCCCCCCAGCTTCCTTCTGCCGCCTCATAAGTAGATTTCAACTTATTCTTTCCAATCAAGGGACTTTCTAAGACTTAAGTACTGACTTCACCTTTTTGAACTTGCATTATGGAGAAAGTTTTTATTCTTTTTCGTTTCCCCGTTATATCCACTAAAGTTGTTAAAAACTGTTTAGATTCTGTGTGGTTTATAAGTTTCAGGTAAGACTCCCTAAATGTGTATCTAATACTCTACACGAATCTCATATTATTTTTAGTATTTTAAAACCTGTGCCTCAGTCTTCCTTTTGAGGTTCCAACTGGAGCTACTGATAGAAATTTTAATTTATGTGAAAATGTTGCAGGAGTAGTGATAAGCAGGAGAGTTCCATTTATTACTAAAATTATAGTACTGCATTGCGTATTTCAGTATGTTTCCTTCCCCAGCGTGCTCTTCATTTTTAGCATGCTTGCTTAGCATGTAGCGATCTAAGCGTCCTTCTGTTCCCGTTTCAGGTGGCTGTACTTTCGATGATGGTCCCGGGGCCTGTGATTACCACCAGGATCTATACGATGACTTCGAATGGGTGCATGTTAGTGCCCAAGAACCTCACTATCTGCCACCTGACATGCCTCAAGGTGAGAATCCTTCTGTTTTACCCAGTGCTGGGGGAATGGCATTGGAATATGTAGCATCTTCTAATTTTCAGTATAATTCAATAGTTTAATTGTTACAACACACTGCTATGGTCAAGCTACTTGACCACATCTGAGAGCCTTGATATGTTTTTTGTTTTTCCCTCAGTGACTTTCTTTCCTATTGCATGAGCTCACTATGTCTTAGTTATCTCTGACTTTTGGGAAAATGCTGTTTTCTTCTTAGTCCTGTATATATGTATATATATATATATATATATATATATATATATATATATATATATATATATATATATGTATATAAAATTCAAATGGAAATGAAACCAAGAAAAAAAAAAGTAAAATGAGGAAAAAACAAAGTTCTTTAATGAACAATCTAAAATGTGAGATCAGCTCACTTGGTACTTGTATAGGTCTGATCCAATTAGACTGAAGGAAGGAAGGACCTTTACTTCCTGGTGAGGAGATTGATTTTCTCCTTGTCCCTGGACATAAGCTGTGAGGGGCTCTGAGGAAAGGCAGCCTGGAGACCAAATTGTCAAATAGAGAAGGTCTTTTCTGAGTGAAATGTAAAAAAGAGAGCTCAGCCTTATTCATTCTTTACCCTGTTCTTGTTAAATCATTAGGTTATTGGTTTTGTGAAGTTGAATATTTAAACTTAAATATTTTAATATTTTAAACCAGTTTGAGTTGTGTTTTCTCTCAACTAACTTAGGACATAAATATATATATATATATATATATATATATATACACACACACATATATATATAGTCACTTTATACACCATCAGACTAATATTTGTGACTCCAATTCTACATATTAATTTGGAATTAATGCCAAACCCTGTGTATATATGTTTAACAACTTTTATTATAAACATTGAAAATGAAAATGGGAATTTTAAAATATTGTACTAAAGAGAATAAACTGTTTCCTTCCCATATTTGTAAGAAACAAATGTGGTATAATGATACACTGTATACAATCATCCTAATATAATAAAAACGGTGGAAGGCCAGAATGGCTTGTTGACCAGTCTATATGATGCGCACTGACCGCCAAGGGGCAAACACTCAATGCAGGAGCTGACCCCTGGTGGTCAGTGTGTTCTTTCTGCAGAGTGCCGCACAGCCAGAAGCTGGGCTCACGGCTGGGAGTGTAGCAGCAGTGACAGTGGCCTCTCCCGCCTCCATGGCAGTGCTAAGTAGCAGTGAGCCAGGAGGTAAGGAGCAGCAAGCAAGGCAGTAAGGAGCGAGGTGTCTCAAACTGCAAGAGGGATGTCCGACTGTTGGCTTAGGCCTGATCCCCTAAGCTGGCTGGTGAACATCCCCCAAGGGGTCCTGCACTGTTAGTGGGCCCAGGCCGGGCTGAGGGACCTGAGGCACAAATTTTGTGCACCAAGCCTCTAGTCCTATCTAATAAAAAGGTAATATGCAAATTAACTATCATTCCATCACAAAAGATGGCAGCGCCCATAGCCACAAGTTGGCAGTGCCCAGTCCTCTCAGCCCCACCAAAGTCTCCCAGTCCCAGGGGGCAGCCGCTGAGAGCTAGCGGCCTGGAGAGATGCTTGCTGTGTCACCATGGAGATGAGACAATAGTTCTGTGCTGGGCTGTTGATGGGCCTCTGGACCACTGAGAAACTCTAGGCCTTGCAGAGAGCTACTGGTGTGTGGATTCGTGTGCAGGGCTACTATGATAGCATGTATATAATACACTGTGGAGGAGGAACAAACTTTTTTCCACCCTCAAGGTTTTTCTGGCTAGTTTAGCCAGAGAAAATAACCAAATTTAATGTATAGATGTGTGAGGGGAACCCCACATACATGGGAGAGTCAGAGACCCCACCTGCAGGAGAGGTGCAGAAATAGAAAGGGAACATAAGACTTCCTGAGCCAGGGATGAGGTAACGTGCCTTGGGGGCCTTAAAGGGCCATTGTCTGATAAGAAGAGCTGTTGCTTAGGAAATAGAAATCTGTCCTGCCCTACAGGAAGGTGAAAAGAGGTTATGTCTGGCAATCTCTTATTATGGGCTAGTTCTTCTAGGTAGTTAAGGGAGGGGCAGATTTTTCCCTGGAGCCTGCTGCTCAAGTTGCCTTTAAGTCAAAACAGTCTGCACACCACAGAGGCACCTCTTGGGGTGACTTTCCCTGGACTCCCACAACTAAATATAATAATATTTAACAGTGTAACATAGTGGTATACGATATAACACATAATCATCAATTGTGATATAGAATCATGACATTTTTAGACATAGCCGACAGAAATGTCATTTCTGGCGACTGAACTTGCTAAGTAATATGATGTGGAAAAATACAAAAATCGGAAGCACCAACAATAAACCATCACACACCACAAGTTTACAAAGAAAATAAAACCGAACGTTACCTACATTTCCACAGTAGGGTTTTTAAATATATTTTTATTGATTTTGTACAGAGAGGAAGGGAGAGAGATAGAGAGTTAGAAACATCAATGAGAGAGAGTCATCGATATGCTCGCAACCAAGGTACATGCCCTTGACCGGAATCGAACCTGGGACCCTTCAGTCCCCAAGCCGATGCTCTATCCATTGAGCCAAACCGGTCTTGGCCCACAGTAGGGTTTTTAATGAATATAGTAAATATATCCTTTGGAACGTTTTTTAACTGGTTCCCTGATGATGTTTCTTTGAGAGTTGGGTGAAGTAAATCTGCTTTCTGTCCCCAGTTGTCACTTTCCTTGGCTGAGTAGGCAAATGGTTATTTGTGAAGCTGAACTGATCCATAATTTTCTTGCAAGAGGAATAAATTGGTACTAGCTGGCTGACACCCTTGGCTTCTTAGTTTGACCCTTATGTGTCAGCAGACTCATTTACTTTTGTGCATAGGTTTGTATTTTTCCTTCAAAGGCACATAACCTTATTTTCCCAGTACATGTTAATTAAAGAAACTCCTGTTATATGTCACCTGAATTTTCTCTGTGATATATTTAGACCAATTTTTTAAAAAATCTAAGAAAGGGGTGGTTTGGGATACATACGTTTTCACTGTTTATCATCAGAGAACAATCAGAAATATGTTGATTTATGGAAATGCTACCATTGTTAATTACCATTGGAGATAGATAATGACTAGGTGAAGAGATATTGCTCAGATGACCTTGTGGGCTAACCTTTGATGAACAGCTTAATGGGTGGTTACAGTACAGAATGATATGCACAGAAAGAGAAAGTGTTTGAAATTCAGGCACATCTTCCAATTAGTAGGACATTAAGTCATTAATCATGCAGAGGAGGAAGAAAGGTCACGGCCACTTTATTTTTGCCAAATGTAACGTGTTTAGTCTTCAGAGAAGGTGAAAGAGAGCATCTATTCTTATACTCTCATTTACTGGTCTCTTTTTTACAATATATACCTTTTTTCCCCCTATTTCCCTTTAAAATGCTCACTGAATATTATCTGTTCATAAGATGGAAAAAAGGAGACATTTAAATTTATCATTAAAATGTAATGAACAATCCATTTATTTTCAAATAAATCGCCAGACATTTTCCTTTTTACATTTACTTAAAAAACAAAAACAAAAACAAAAACAAACACACATCTCAAATATTTGGCAATTCTGAAGTAAGAAGTCTGGATTCTGATGCAAACTGGTATTGAACTGTCTCCATAAAATACATGGGCATTTTTAATTGGCTTCATTTTATTGACCTTTTTGGGCTGGAAAAATATAGAAGGGAAGAAAAGCAGTGTCAAGAAACAGATTAGAATTAAAGGTGATTGAAGATGGGTAGAAGAGTAGAGCAAAGAAGAAAATTTTGGAGACATAATGCCATCAATATTTGCTTACAATGATTTTTCAGCAGTTTCTTCCCCACACTACCTTTGTCTGGTGACTGAGAGAGTGGCTGAAAGGCCTGCTGTAAACATTTCTAAAAATGTTCTTTTAGGCTGGCCAGCATGCTCACTGGTTGAGCATTGACCTATGAACTAGTAGGTCATGGCTCTATTCTCTGTCAGGGCATGCCCAGGTTGCTGACTTCATCCCCAGTGTGGGGCATAAAGGAGACAGCCAATCAATAATTCTCTCTCATCTATATTTCTCTTTCTCTCAAATCAATAAAAAGATATATTAAAGTTATTTTATTTATTTTTTTAATTGATTTCAGAGAGGAAGGGAGAGGGAGTGAGAGATGGAAATATCAATGATGAGAGAGAATCATTGATTGGCTGCCTCCTGTATGTTTCATACTGAAGATTGAGTCTGCAACCCAAGCATGTGCTCTGACTGGGAACCGAACCATGACCTCCTAGTTCATGGTCAGCACTCAACCACTAAGCCACACCGGCAGGGTGAAATCTCAGAGGTTTTAAATGTTTAGTTATCTTTCCACTTATCCACCCATCAAACTCTTATCCATTCTTACCGTGTCTAGTCAAGTTTCATCTGCTTTGGGAACATTTTCCTGACTTGCTTCGATTTCATATATTTCTAATGTCTTCATATCCAAATATGCTACCAGTGTTCTTTGTACTTATTTCAATTGCAACTATTATAGTATCATTATTTACATTCTTCTCTCCACTAAGCTATAATGTTCTCATGAACGTAAACTATACTTTTCATCTTTGATTTCCCAAGACACTATTTCATTTTGTTCAGGCAAAAATGTCAACTTATATAATGTGATTTAAAATAATTTAGTCAGGTGGTAAACCAAACAGGTATTTCAATTGTTACAAAATTAAGAAAAAAATTCCCCATTTCCCAAGTATTATGTTCAGTTCAATATAAGTTTTATTAGAAGACCTTCTCATAATTATTAATATTTGGCTTTTGCCATGAAGTTGTTTTACCTATTTATTTTGGATATAATTTTAAATACTATTAATACTACCAAGAATTAGTTCCCTTTATAATCTCTTTGTCTCCTTGAAAGTCTGATATTTAAAAGAACAAAGCCACAAGGAATGAGATGTATGGAACTAGTT